CGGCTTTGGCGGCACGTCTTTTCTACGGACAGGTGTCAGGGACAGGAAGGACATTCGGTGGCTTGTTTTTTGCGCTCGTGTGCAGAAGTATGACTTTGGCAGGTCGAGTGCACACAAGCCAGGAGCCGGGTGCAGTGTCACAGTGACTTGACATCCACACTTCACTCGCGAGACTCGGGGCCCTGGAGCCAAGGTCCTCGAGCGTGCCAAGAGCTTCATTGGCTTAGATATTCCACAGGCTCGACCCTGATTGCCGCTGAGAGTGCTGGGCAAGACAAAGCACTCAAAGTCGGCGTGGCATCGATCGCAATGCCCGTATTCTCTCCGACGATCCTTTCGTCATCTTTTCGGCTGCCTGAGACGGCGGCACCCTATGCTGGGGCTTTCGTCTCTCGGGTGGTTTTTTGGTCCACGTGCCTTCAGGGACACCAAGCCCGAGCCAGAAGAAGGGAAATGAAAATAGGGAACAAAGGAGAGCCTAAGCTTGTGAATCGGCGTTCGATGTGGGTGAGCCGTTCAGGCAGAAACAGGGACGGAAGCGGAGGGACAGCATCCAATCTTCACGAAGAGCCGACATGTGCAGACACACACTTCTGAAGCGAAGTCTCCGTTGAATGCTTGCACCATCTTGCGCCTGTTGCGGCTGCACAGGCTAGTTGCGCTGAATCCGGAGCACTCACAGAAGGAGCCTTTGCAGGCCGAGTGACGGGTCACTGAGAAATCCCAGCCGATCACGAGACGCCTGCAGGCCTTTCCGCTGTCAAGGCCGGCTTCCTCAGCTGCTCTTGTGTTTTTCTCTTCTGCTGGTTGAAGGTCCGATGACTTGGCAAATGTGGATGATGGCGCAGGCAGGCAAAGATCGATTCCTTGCGTTTTTGCAGCTCCGCCATAGTGATTACGTACTGCACCCGGAGGGCTTTCATTGATTTGCATTTGAACCAGGCTTGCTTCTGCGGCAAAGGTGTGTTTGCGAATTTTGTCCACAGGCTCATAGTTTTTTGGATGTGCAGTGGTCGCGACGGCTAGAGTTCAGTCGGCAATCCAAGGCGGAACCTAGGGCCTGGATCTTTCAGCTTGAAGCATTGGGCATGAAACTTGCCAACATGAGATATTTCGCAGGAAACACGAACAAACATGCGCTTTGCCGTGTGTCCGAAAATGCTCAACCACGAGAGGAAATACTGTTTAGGTGCACAAAGTCGCGCATGCTTTCCAAACTGCACGGCAACGGTTAAGAATTATGAATGCGAAGATATGCATGTTAGTGGGCCTGGCTCGATTTGATGGCGTTTTTTGTATTTTAGGAGACCCTAGCTTGACCACACTGCCGCTATGCATTGGCCACTTTGGGGTCTTGCAAGACGAAGACGAGATGCGTTCAAAGCACCGCGTTCTTCGGAAGCACAGTCTCGGGGCCAACAATCTGAACCTCGTCTTGCATGGCCCTGCGCCAGGCGACCGGAATCCGTCGTTGACGCGAGCGAAGGCTGTATTCTCGGGAGAGAGATCCTTGGCAGCTGTTGAAGATATTCTTCCGCCTACTATGGCAGCACCATGCTTGCTTCTGCTGCTGTTGCTTCACTCAGGCGGCTTGCGTGCAGTCCCAGACAAGCTTCAGGACTTTATTCTCTAGCTGCACTTGCTACTGTCCTCTGTCAGCCTCATGCGGTGTAGGCCAGTGTAGGCTGGATGAGAATGGGAAATGAACAGCACTGTGAACATAGATGTCCTGGCCTTTTTTACGAAGCTTTCTGCTTGCAGAAGCTGCTGCCAGCTTGTGCGAAGAAATCCGCCATGAAATTCGCCACCGCTCTGAGACTCTGACTCTGAGCCGTGAGCACGCATAGCGATCTGCTCGAGCCGACGGACCCGAAGTGAGTGTCAAGAAAGGACAGCAGATTTCACCCAGGGCCAAGGCGTGGGTACAGCAAGGCTGAAAGAATGCAGAGGAGGATGCACATGCGAGGACATCAGAAACACAAACGGATGTTTGCAAACTTCAGCCTTCGTCATTAGCCGTTCCGCCACGCATAGATATGAAAAGGCATCCACATGTGCCATTGCAAGAAACTGGAAGTCCATGGAAGTCCAATGGTTGGCTATGCGAACCTCCGTTGACGGCTCGGCTACTCGTACAGGAGAAAGCCATCTCCACTGCTATCCACGTGGGTTGTCGTGGGTGCCCGGCTCATGTAGAGGGTCTTGAGCCAGCATGAGTCTACGAAAGTGAGGGAGTCTTGATTTGTCCCTGCCCAGGCCTGCAGCGCGAGTGGCTGGAGCTGCAGCAGCTATGACTGTCGAGGGCTATGCGCGGCTCTGGCACCATTCAGACGCAGATCACAATAGATTGAGTTTATGCATGTAGTCTTGTAGATCTCGAAGTCGTGCCTCGCACGCTACATCCGGGAATGACTTTCCGGTTCATCCCTCAAATCGATTCGCTTGCACCAGGTTGTACAAAGAAATTGGTCGGCATTGCGAGCCGCTCGACAGAATGACGAGAACAGGAGGGAAGTTGACAGTGACTTGCCTTTGGACTGTTGCAACAGGTCCTGGCTCCCGTATCAATTGACCATAATAGTACTGTTTAGCGTGGCCGCGGCCACCCGGCCGTGCGGTCCGCGGTTCATCATACATCTTAAACAGACTCCCTGATTTGGCGACTCCGGTTCATCATAATATAGATCAACAGGCGCCCTCAATTCTCGACTCCGGTTCATCATGTATAATATAGATCTTCAACAGGCGCCCTCCTTTGTCGATTCCGGTTCATCGTATATCTTAAAACAGCCCCCTCATGCCCCCTCATTTCATTTGGCGATTCCGGCTCATCATACATCTGAAACATGATAAACATGCCCCCTCATTTGGTGAGGCCGGTGCCTCATATCTTGAACACGCCCCTCATTGGGCGACGGCGGCTCATCATATATCCTAAACATTCCCTTTCATGTGGCGATTCCGGTTCATCATATCTATTGAACATTCATCATAAATCTTAAACACACGCCGTCCTTTGGCGATTCAGTTTCAACAATGTTCATCACAGACCTTGAGCACATCCCCTCATTTGGCGGTCCTGGTTCATCATATATCTCAAACACCCAGCGTCCTTTGGCGATCCCGCTTCATCATATGTTTTGAAGAACCCCCCTCGTTTGGCCATTCCGGTTCATCATAAAAGATCTGAAGCACGCCCCCTCATTTGGCGACGCCGGTTCATCATAATATATCTTGAACGCCCTGAACGCCCACCCTCAAATTTGGCGTTTTCGCTGCGGCCCGCAGTCGCACGGCCCTCGGCGCCCGACCCACGGTCCGCGGACCAAAGCTTGGCGCGCGGCCCGTGGCCCGTGGCCACGCCCACAGACACCGCAAAATTGTCCTTTATGCTACGGTGGAATGCATCGAAGCTTGTGCTCGCTACACAAGCACACACCAAGCAAAGCGTGCTGCGTGAAAGTATACAGCAGGCATCAGGAGGCCAACCTCGCCCGAATTCCTTGTGCTTGATTGAAAAACTGCTCTGCTTTGGATGGTCCGGAAATGGTAGTAAATCGCCCGAAACGCATTGTGCAAGCTGCTGCTAGTGGGAGACATTTCAGGCAGCTGGAAGATAAGAACATCAGCTCGGAGCAATTCACGGCTCAGATCTCAGCAGTGGGAAAGAAAGCAGAGGCGTGACACCGCAGTTATAGAGTGTCCGAGTATTTCTGCTACAGCTGCAAGTCGCTTATACTTTGAAGTCGTGATCCTGTACGTTTTCTTGACTTAGGAACGAATTTGCGAGAGCACAGTGAGCTCCTCTGGCCGGGCTATTGGTAGCTTGGCCGGAGCCGCGGTCGGTCAGGCTCAGCGCGTCATGCCCAAAAGCATCACGTATAGGGATACACATATTTCATCTCACTATTGCCTGCCCTTTGAAGGCCTCGATTCCTGTTCCCGTGGTCGGCGCAGTGATCGGTGGAGTTGCAGGCTCACGGGCGGACTAACTGTCTTCTCAGCAGCTTAAGCGCAGTGGGCAGCTACCGCTGCATGTTTTGCAGGTGCCGCTTGTGGTGGTTTCTATGCCAACAGTCTGGTCCGCGGTGCTTGGCGTTTATCAGGCCACCTATCTCCGTTCTTTGACTGATGGCTGATATCTATAGGGAAAATGGTCCTGGCAGCATTTCGGTGCAGGCGGCAAGGCAAAAGGTGGCGACGACATCGTCAGATGCGAAACCCCTGCATGATTATTTGTTTGGTGGCGAGGTTGACCCGTTGAGGAATGCAACGTTGAGTTTGCCCTGAGCAGGTTCAATCAGAGTATAGTTGTATACATTGTTCAGGACATTTCTGCAACGCAATGCTGCAGTCAGAAGAGACTCCAAACCTGGACATGCAGTCAGCAAAGCTTAAGCTTTTGGACTTGAACGCGCAAGCAAAGCAGAGGCTATCAAGTTCACGTAAGATCACAGAGCAGGTTGAGCACGGGACCGCCGACAGCAGCAATCACGCTTTCGACAATTTCGAGAAGGCTTGCTGTTTTTGGCGAACTGCCCAAGGTCACGTGCCTGCATTCCGTGTGCCAAAGCTGTCTGGTGCCATCGGTGCCTCCAGGAAGCTTGTTCCGACAAGCTGGTACAAGACTTCGCTTGCTCGACGAAGCTGCTCGAAGCGGGGTTTGTTGGGCAATGTCTTGCAGCAGTTTGGTTGCCTCAGTAGGAATGACCGATCGTGCGTACCTTGCCGTTCAAAAGGCATCACCACGCAGAGCTGTTTAGTCTTTGAGCCGCCACTCTGCAAGCCTTTGGCCTTTGTGTGCGCCTGAATCACCTTCACCCTGCCAGGACACCCATCAGCCCATGCAATTCCAGGGGGAGTCGGAGGATCTCCTTTGACGGCCCAGGCAGGTTCCGTTGACATTTCCAAGCGGATAAGTCAGAGATCAATTAGTCATCCCACCCAAGCAAAAAGCTTTGGCAAGAACTGGGAACTGGTGAAGCACACAGATTCAGAACTCAGACCGGAGCATCGGCACCCTGGCGCAATTGGCACTGTATTTCTCCCGTTTGGAGCCACTTCTTGTGCACCCTGCAAGAATGCTAAGAAAGACATCTGAGCTGTCAGGAGCGAGACATTGCCAGACATTCTGTGCATTTCGCACTCCGAAATCATTGCATTCGTGTCACACGTGTTTGTGTAGTTAGCAGCATCTTGTACTCGTTGTTCGTTCAGGGTTACTCTTTCGTGTGGCATGGCAAAGTGTCGGACTGTCCTGAGCTAGGCTGGAGATCGTTTTTGACATGGAATGTCCGAGCTTCGCCTGTGCAGGGGAGCCGACTCTGTGACTGCACTTTGCTGCTGCTGCGCATTGCTGCGCACTCTGCCAAAGTCGCCGCTTTTCCATGCTTGCGCAGTCCAAAAAGAGCGTTGCAAGCTTGTTTTTGTTTGCTGTTGTGGTGGAGACTGCACAGCCCTCTTGCTGCCTGGAGACGACTCGTGCTTTCATGGCTCAGTGAAGGGCATGGGTCTGACATGCAACGCGACAGTTTTCGTCGACTTTGATTCGATATTGTCGAGATGTATATAATAGAGTGTGACAAGCCTCGACCACGAAAGCGTAGTGAGTTCTTCGAGACATCACCATGGGATCTTCTCGCGGCATATTCTTGATCGGTGCTGTGCTCTGTGCAGCCAGACTGTGCCTCCCGACTTCATTTGCAGCCCCATCGAGACCTGCAAGACGAGACAATGAGTTCAAAGTGTCATCTTTGGAGTTGCGGGCAACGAGTTCTGAGTATCACATGGGTCAGGATGGTATGCATGACGGGGCATTGCTCGCAGGTTTGAGCGGACTGGCATTGAAACCGCGATTCAGCCGTGTGCATCGGTCGGCAGGTTTCGGCGGAAGCGGCTTGAGCGGAAAGTGGGGCTGCTACAAGACGGAAGGAGACATCGATGCATACTGGAAGGCTGCTGGCCTTCCATGGCTGGCACGGAAAGGCTTGCAGCTCATGGATTGGGGTGCCGGAAAGAACCAGAATGTTCGAGAGTTTGCACAAGAAGCAGATGACATCGAGATGGAATATTCCTTCCAGGGCCCAGGGCTTGGAGGTCTTGGCTTCACAGAGAAGTATAAGGTGGGCAATGGAGTCCAGGAGATTACTCGCATGGGCGGTGCCAAAATACTTGTGGATCCTGTTTGGGAGTCAGACTCCGTCTTGCGTGTTACGTCCCTAAGCTTGATTCATGCTGCGATTCTGCTTTGCATCAAGCTTGAAGCCGAAGCCTGAGATGCCCAAGGAACATGAATCCCGCGAAGCAGACTCAGGGGTGGACAAAGTCAGTCCTTGGAGGCCAGGCATTGGGCTTTCGATCCAAAGCATTGGTGAGCAGGGCTGTCACTGTCTTCGTCCCTGCACTGCATTACGCGACCCCCGAATGCGCGATGGTCGATATGCACAGACTGAAAGGGCCGGGCAAGTTCAGGCAGTTCTACGGTGTGCAGGAGAGTGCAAGGACAGAGAGTGATGTCGACTGCGAGATGGGCCTGCCGAGCTGCGATCCTAGTCAGGATCTCTGGCAGGGCACTGTTAAACTCGAACTAAAGGCATCCGCTTCACCGGTTCCGTAAGTTGCCAAGCTGCAAGTTGGCTGTGCAGGCGCACACACACACATTCTCTCTCTCTCTCTCTCTCTCTCTCTCTCTCTCTCTCCCTCTCTCTCTCTCGCTCTCTCGCTCGCTCTCGTGCGCTAGTTGTGTTCTCTCTCTGGCCTCCACACCAACCCGTGAAGCTTGCTGGCGATGAGCAGGAAGAGCGAACTGGCAACGGCTTTGGCTGAAATCGAAATCCGCCACAGCTGATTGCCACGACATGGGGGGAAGCCGTCACTGTGCTCTCGAGCCAGCACTGCCTGGGATGACAGGGCAGTAAGGCGGTTGTCAGGGGGAGGCTCTGCATTTCTCGGCCTTGACAGAGGACTGTACAGAACCTTCCTTATAGTGTCCTTCATTGAGCTCGGCATTCGCCTCGCCCTCGATTCACGTCGATGGTCTGAGTATGCTCGGGACGCTCTTCAATTCAAGAATGCATTACTTTCTTTTTCTCGGCCCAGGGTGGTTGGAGTGGGGAGGGGGAACATCTGCGAAGTGAGAAGTGGGTGCGTGCGGGAGCAGAGAAGGAGTCTCCAGCGCCATACAAAGCTGGCCTCATGACTGTAGAGGCAGCAAGGACGAAGAAGCAAAGAAAGAAGCCAGCGAAAGTGAGGCTGCTGGTGACGGGGAAGTGACCTGGCAACACGGGCAGGTGTTGTCGCAATGTGCCCTTGCGCTGTTCTCGGATCGTAAGGTCATTGATGTTCATCGGTTTTACATTGAGAAGGCAGGCTCCGAATGTGTTCCGAGTCTTCCCAAAATGCCTAGTCGACGTCGTGAATTGTTTCGAGGACAGCCTCGTTCTCGAAGCTGACTCGTCGCCATCTGGAGGGCCAGTTGTGAAGTGGTTCCTGCGCAAGCTTGAGTAGTTGAGACTACATGCTTCTTTGTCTCTGGGCCAGAAGCTGCCTTGCCACAAGAGGGATACCACAGCAGCAATGCTGCTATTGGTGCAGATTCTTGCATCTCAATTCACAAAGGCCGTTTGGAGTTCCTTGTCAAGTGCATCTACATACTGCATTTCTGATTGTTCCAGCACTGTACACTGCCGTCATGAGCTGCGGCCCCTTTTGTGTCCCAGTGCCATTCCGGACAATGTCGCCTTTTTAAAGGGATTGCACTTGTGATGGCGGCTAATTACTTCGCCCAATGTTTTATGACAGGCTGGTGCAAGCCTGATAGCTTTCCATTGTGTACCTAGCAGAAAAGACAGGACCGCTGCGAGGAAGACGATACGGGCTTCACTCAGAGTGTTCCCGCAGACTGGACCAAAGGGTTTGCAAAGAGAAAGCCCTTCAGCTGCTTTTGTTGGCAGGTGTTAACAGACCAGTCCGAGGAGCTTGAAAAAGGCTCGATCCTCGCTCGTGCTATGGCGATGGCTCTTGCGTTCACTGCCCCGGTGTCGGGATACTCCAAAGTGACGCAGTGGAAGAGTGCAACAAGTGGAAGTCTTCAAAAGACTCCGTCTACCCACAGCAGCCGCGGCCAGACTGTCATGGCCCTCTCCATGGCGACTTTGACATTTGTGGGAAAGATGCAGAAGAGGCCGGTGCCACCCGGCACCAACATGCTCTCTGAAACAGCTGAGGCACCCGAAACCCCCAGCAAGAGCAACAACACCTATGCCTACAATTTGGTGAAGCTCTGCCTGGTGATCACGTTGGTGCCTTTCCTGTTCTGCTTGGGCAACTTCTCCTATGATCGGTCTTTGAGTGACTTTGACCTTGAGTATGGACCGCACCTCTCTCATCCAGCATTGAGGACCACCTCAACCATCCAGGCCATCATGGTATTCGCCGCTTTATTCTGGCGTGAGAAAAATCGCAGCGATCCAATTGACAGACTCTTTGCTTGGCTCTTTGTGCCAGAGGCTCTCACTCATATTGTGTTGCACTTTTTTAGCCATCATTTGCCGTTTGCAAACTTCGCCTTTGCGTACGCATTCAGTGCTGGAATTGCACTTCCCGGCTTTCTGTCGCTGCTCTGCTACGTGCCGAAGGAGAAGAAGTTACCTTGGGCGTATCTCGTTCTGTATGTAGCAACACAGATCCCGATTGTTGCGGGCTTAACCAACATGGTGGGCCCGGCGAAGATGAGGTTGAATTATGCAAACATCAACACGGCATGCATTACATCCCCGTTCTTCTACGGCATCCTCAAGCGATGGAATGATGTTCCCAAAAGCCCGGTGATCCTCGCCACATTGACCATAAGCTACCAAGTTGCGATGGGCATCATGGGCCCCATCACAGGAGCTTCGGATCTAAAGCTTTATGATCCATCGTGCATCTTTCAACACGGTGTGGTGGACATCGGCTTTGGGATCGCTTATGCGGTGTCGATCATTTGTGGCGTTTTCAAGCCCGGTGTTCCACGACCTGCATGGGACTGAGAGCAGGCCAGGTAGCGGAAGGCAAGCACCGGAGGCGCACGGTGCTTCGTAGAAAAGAGCTCAAACCACGGCTGTTCAAGGTGTCGTGAGCAGGGCCGAGTGCCAGCACACCGGGCTCTGTTTTTGCCGGACTGCTTAAGCTCGTCACTGCGCACGTGATGAATTCTTAGTAACTTACTAGCTTGGCTGCTTAGCGATGCGATGCAGTGGAACCATGCAACAAAGTGCCTCGTTGAAGCCTCGACTCGTGCTGGCTGAGCATATTCTCAAAACTCGCCCAAACATGAGTCCAACAGTAGTGCAACACGGCTTGTTGCCTCTCGGCGCCTGGAAGATACAGGTTGCGCAAGATGGCGATGGCACGGGTACCAGAGTGTGAGGCCGGGGCGGCAATTCAGTGTAACTCTTCGCTCCGCCTCCAATGCTGTTGTCATTCTGTTCGGGAGCAGCGCGACCTGTGAGTCCGAACCTGCGCACAATGCAAAATAAATTGGCGTCACATCTAGCTCGTATACATTGAGCCATCACAAGATGTATCGTCGATCCTCCAGTTTATAGGACCATTCGTGGTGATAGGTGGTGATAGCCGAGCCACGCGTGCAAGTGTGAAAGGTTTTCGGAGCCGACCTGAATGGAGCTGCTCCAGCAGTTCGAAAGATTTTGCTGCCAGGTTTGCAACGAGAAGGTTCATCTACCGCCCCGCTTCGAGGCTCCATGCAGTGTATCGTGCGGAAGGACTGCGGCATGACACCACTTGCTTTGTGAATGCAACACCCCGACCTATCCAATGCCACCAGACTGAGCGAAAGGCCAGCTCAGACACGGACTCAAAGTGCATGGATGTGTATATGGAGCCCCATGTTTCCTGCATGCCGCTGTCCACTGACATTTCAATGGCCAAACTAAACTTTCAACCTGTGAACACTTGAGGATGCCGTTTGAACTCTGAAGGGCTCGCGAAAGACACCGAAAGAGAGGTGACAACTCGCCCATAACTGGTAAGGACCATGCTGGCACAAGAGGAACTCTCTACGTCTCTACTGGCTGGCAGTTTCGGGTGGCAGACGTTGAGATGAGCGTTGGTTGGCAAAACCCCCCTGGCCTTGAGAACTCTTTAGCAAGTTCCAGACGGCACGTTTTAGGCAGTAGGCCGGTGAAATGTAGAAAAGAAGGGAGGGCGTAGGCGAGCAAGGCCGATACGCGCTTGAGGGGAATCGGGGAAGGTAATTCTAAGTCTACGCCGCCCGCCCCGGCCTGACTGTGCGGCAGCATGTGTCTCTCAGAAGAGCTCCGCGGAAATTTGGCCGGTCACGCATGCTATGGCGGATTTATGTGGGCACCTTCGCAGCGTGATGCCGCATGCTCGCATCGTCAGCTGCGTCCGTTGTGGCTATGCTCGCCATTCCCAGTTTCTTCTTGTGCCCATGGTCTTCACCACATCAGTCTGCCCTCCATGTCGAGTGGTACTTCCAGCATCGCAGGCCCAAGCTCTGTGAGAATTCTTCACAGCGATCGCACGGCCGAAGTTCCTTGCATGGCTGCGCAAATTTGCTCGAAAAGTTCAATGAACCTGAGAACACAAAAAGGGCTGGTTTCATTCTGCAGGATCTGTCATTTGGACTGCACCCGCGCCTATCTGCAGACTCAGAATGTCGCATCCTTCGAGGAAGCTTCCGTGATCCGACCATGTGCCTCACTCTCAGGTGCGGCTGCTGTAAGGTGTGTGCATTTCGGCATTTCAGGATGGCTCGACACGATTGATCGACTGCCCTTGTGGCAAGGCGTGGCAAGGGTGGCGGTTCCCGGTTGTCGCGCGGAAATGCTTGTTCTCTTGTATGCAAAGTTATGCAAAGCATGCCAGGGTGTTTATGCTCCTCGCTGCACTGTGTGTGGATGCAGCTTGCTGCCGCCAACTCCAGTGATGCAGACACTTGGCGTTACGGCCGGTACTTGTACGGCTCTTGATCGGCACACCCACAAGCGCTCCTTCTGCTGAAGGCTAATTTCAGCTGTCAGGACCTGTGCAGCACCATGTGGGCGAGCCTTGGCACACAGGGCGTGCATGGATGCTGCTGGGACCTCAGGGAAGCTGAGCCACAGATAGCCACAGCGCAAAGCCCGCGAAGCCAAGATGGCATCAGACCAGAGCAAAGCTGGGCAAGAATCCCAGCTGGGGCTGGTCAACGGCAAAGAGACAAACCTGACGCGCAAGGGCGGCCGTGGTTTGTCCCGGGATGCCCGGCAGCGCATGGCGCCACGAGGACAAACCTTTCGAAGGTTTCGAGCACAGGGAGCCAGAGTCAGAGGAAGGGCTTCAGACCTGCGCCACATGCTGCTACATGTCCAAGCTGCATCTCGGATACGATCTTTTTCTGCCTGAAGTGCTAGCATTGCGGCATTTGGTGACCTCCAGGTCGATTCCTAGCCTGAAAAGCCTCAAGATCTGTTGGGCGTGAATAGAACCGAGGTCCAAAAATTTGGTGCTCGAAGAGATTGCCAACTCTGCAGGCGAGGGGAACATTGTGGTGCTTTCGTCCAGCATCGCCCTGTTATAGGAGGCCGTGGATGTTCTGACTCCGAACTGTATGGCCGCTGATTGTACATATGCAGGCTTCTGCCAGTCGACCAGTCGTAATTCATGTTCCAGCTACTGGCCGCGTCAGGCCTGTAGCTCATTGTTTCTGGAAAAGCTGTGCGGCAACAACATGTAGCCGGACAGTCAAATTCAGCTTTGCGACTCTTATCTGCGACGTGCTAGAGGGGACCATGCCACATGGACAAATCTTGCGGTAGAATGGATTGGCACGGAAGGGCAGCTTTTTTTTTTTGTGTGGCTTTGTTTCAGAGGCACCCACATCCCGCTGGCGTTCGAAAGGGGGTATAGGGTACAGATGACACCAGATCTCAACGAATTTTGCCGATCATTCTGCGACATGCAGCCAGCTCAATAAGACCCAAAGCTAGTCTAGATGATCTTTTGCAAAAGCAAATTGACCCTTTGTCAGCCAGCTTGGCCAGTTGGTGTTCAGGCCCGAAGTCCAGACCTTAGCATGGACACAGGGCCGCTTTGAGGAGAGTTTGCACCTGCCTGTGAACGCACCTGGAACGATTGTTGCAATAGCACAAACATACTGCACAGGCTGAGGTCTGCATGCCCCTTGCAGTTACAGCGTGCCTCCAACTCCTAAATGCACGCAACGAGACACCTTGAGGGTTCCAGCTGACACAACAAGCCTTATAGTAGCCAAGTCGGTCTCACAAGCACGGCCGTGAATCAGCAACGACGACTGGCGACCGAAAACTCTGTTGGCTTCCGGGGAGTTGCGGGTGAATGCCCGCATAAACTTAAACATATTTAGCCGAACTGCTCTGAAACAACGGTCCCCCTGGACGACCCGCAGCGTACTTTCAGTAGTAATGGCACCTCTCGCGGCCATTGCTTCAGTTCCACTCAGCTTGTGAAGCCTTGCATGCGTGTAACTGGTGTGCATGTTTGCATGTGCCGGATGTTTACCCCAAATGTGTGTAAAAGTTCTGAGGAGCCTGTCATGGCGCCACCAGAGACTGACAAGGAGCGCAAGGGACAGCAGGGCAATGCAAAGATGTTGTGTAAGACTTTGCACCCGCCCCCCGACTTCGCCAACCTGGTCGGTGCACGCACTGAAGCAGCCCTTTTGTCATGCTGTGTCTGCATGACCTTGTGGGTGCTGCCTGTGAGCATGGGAGATGGTTGAGAATGCTGCCTGTTTGAAACCGGGAAGGGAACACAAGTGCCAACGTGGGTCTGTTGGTGCCAGGCCACAGAGAAAGAGCTTCAAAGGATACGCCGGTTGCCAGAGAACCGGGTGCTGCCGGAGTCTGGGGCAGTGTCTGCGATCTGTAGTCATGATGCAAGCGCTCGCAGATCAAATTGTAGAGACTGTCGCAAAGTGTGAGACGTGCTTTGGCGCAGGTGTGCCCAAACTGTTTGAAAGAGGAAAGCCTGGGATTTAGTGCAGTTTGCACAACGTTCAAGACGCCAGAGGCCAAAGCAGAGCCTATCAAGCCCAGTCAGCTGAGTTCGTGAGCTCTGAGGTTCATCTGCCATGACTGCAAATCTGCTCATCAGAGTTTCTCACATCGCTGCAAGAGCATCCAGATGAGTGTGTGGACATTGGAGGAGGTTAAGGCTGGAATTGCTAGCAGAAAACAAGACAAGTGATTGTGCTGCTAGCAGCGCTTCGCAGCACCGCAACAGGCTCTCGACGACTGCAACGGTGGTGGAAATGCCGCGGCCGTGCGCAAGTATCTCGGGAAAGTGACGCCGAAAGACCGCGTGAAGCAGGCAGAAAGAGCCAGCCAATCTGCGCAAGACACAGTGCACTTCGCAGTAAGCTCCGCCTGCAGGGCAGTACCCTCGAATTGTACAAACGATTTATTCAGCCCTTCGCTTAGTTGACGCGCGGTTTCGTCCAGGTAGACCTGAAAGACCTGGAAGAAGATTGGATTGCCAACGTAGATGGCAAGCGAGTCGTATGGAAATCTGAGGCGAGCTTACGTTGACCAGCGATGGGCGGACGATCAGCCGGAAGTTTCTGTCCCGGAGGCGAACCAGAGCCGTCGTACCAGCTGAGGGTTGGAGCACGACGAAGCTGCAAAGTGAGTTTCGGAAGTCGCAGGCACCTCAAGCACTGCCGGCGCCGTCGTCGCCAGAAACAGTGCCAGCTTCCAAAACCCGTGTTCCCTAGACATTTGGTACTGCGAAGAGCAAGGGCACCTGAGCTCAAAATGTACGATCCGAGGGAAGAGCCCAGGTCCCGATCTAGGTGCGGCCGTGGTTTTGCCTGCTGCAATTGCTTCGATTTTGACACTGCTCAGTTATGCAGCATGTGTGCCCACGTTCAGGAAGGGCCGTCATCGCATATGCCTCAGATTGATTCTTTCGATTGCCAGATGTTGGCAGTATCAGTGTATGATTGAAAACAGTGAAGATCCGGTTCGAGTGGAGAATCGTACATGGCATTATGCACGTCGTGGAACCGGGCACAACTTGAATAAATATCTCAAGGGATGCAACAGACAGACCCCCCGCACATCTTGGTACTCGTATCAAAATATCAGAGTGTTACTAATGTGATTACCAAGTCCGGATCTACAGTTGGAGCCTGGACGCAGATCACAGTTCTGTGTCATTCATGAGACGCCCAAGTCCAAGCCTGTGTCCATGCCAAAACCGAGTGGCCAGGTCTGTGCAAAGTCGTTCCTCAAGACACCCAGAAGTGGTGGTTATCCGTCCAAATTCCGTGAACCCGTCGCGCGACCTCAAGTACACATTCTTCCACGCAGCATTCTCGATCATCTCTCTTGCACATCTTCTAGACTGGCAGCACATGGCAGCACCAAAATCGACGTCTGCCCCGGTGCCCGCATCAAAGACCATCAAAGCGAGAGGTCAGCTAATGCTTGTCAGTTGACTGAGCCCAAGTCTGAACCAGTCAATTAGAACGGCTCCTCGTCTTCGCTCTGAAACGGGTGAAATCGGGGCTGCGAAATAGCCAGTCGATGCTGTGCCTCCTGCATTGCGAACAGGGAGGCTGGGGAGCAGTCTTGCCACAAAACAGTGTTCATCGAGGAAGCAGCGAATTCTATGTGCTCAACATATATTTTACTGAAAGAGTTGGTCCGTAGCTGCTATGCACTTGCACATGGTCTTGCCTATTTGTGGCTTTGTCAATTCCCGTTCTGAGGCAAAAGGAGAGAAAAGGCTGCCAACCTGCAGCTTGAAGCTTATGTTCGGTGCCAAGAATCTGGCCCTCCCGATTGCTTGTCTTGAGGTCGGACTCGGTGCAGGCACTGCGCACTCGACAAAGTCAGCTATGTCAAGCTGAGTCGGACTGCCCTTGCAGGACTTGACAATAAACAGACTTGGGATTGCAGGTGGCTCCAGATGGTCTGTGGCAGCATGATCTGCGCAGCAATGTGCTCAGCACGTGGATGTGCCTGGAAAGCAGCGCGCTGTTCTATCCTTTTCTCTTGTTTCCAAGCCGCGAATTCGTCGAAGCAAGGGCTTCCAGAAGAGGTCGAAACAGAACATAGAGTCAACATCGGTGCAGCAACAATCTCTTTGTTTTGCTCTCTCCAAGAGACTAGTCATAGCTAGATTTTCCTTCCAAGTTCTTTGCTCCCATCCAGGGTTTCGAGGCCACTTGTAATCGGTCTGGAGATGTCTGACTCGGCACGAGTTCAAGCAACAGAACAACGTCCCAGCCGCAACAATCCATGACAAATCGGCCAAAGAAACAGTCACGGCAGAGTCACTATTTCAGCCCAAGACTCCAAACAAAAGCCAGCACGAGCTGCGCGCTACTACCGCACGGGTCCCGCGGAAGTGTTCACGGATCGAGTACCACAAATGCTATGCAAGGTGCTACGTAAATGCCACACATCATTGCACGTCCGTTCCAGCCCGCCCAACAGTCAGCTACCTCGAAGGGTTTGTGCTCCGATAGGGCAACTTGATGCCTCGCCTCTGGCTGTTCCGTACGATATTGTTCTTCAACTTGTGGCTGCAGGCACTGCAGGCGGACTCCACTAAAGCATCTGGCAGGGATTTTACGTTGCCTGTGCTGGATGGCTGGCATTCACAATACGGTCAGGACAAGACAATTTTAAGGTGGCTGTACAATGAAGAGGCCTCCGATGCTGCACATGCTCTGATGCATGGGCGGGCGCATCGACAGGGCATATTTATCGAGCTCGGTGCCGGTGACGGCCTCGCCGGCAGCAACACTTTAGCTTTCGAGCAGAAGCTTGGCTGGACGGGGCTCTTGATTGAGCCAGTGCAGCACTTTTATGAGAAGCTCCAAGTTAATCGCCCAGCAGCAACCTGTGTGCATGCTTGCGTTGCGGGCGCGACAGGTCCAAAAACGCTTGCAGAGAGCGGGTTCAACAGTGGCACAACCGGCCGTCTAGTTACATCGAGCGATCTGGAAAAGCTTGTTGACATGACATGCCAGACGCTGGGCGACCTGATCGACAAGCACCTTGGTGAGATGGGGCGCCATATAGACTACCTTTCGCTTGACACCGAAGGAACTGAATTGGAAATCCTCGGGACATTCGACTTTAACAGATACCAGGTGGATGTAATGAGCATTGAGGTCGACGATGCTCTCCCAGAAGAGATGTACGTTCGCTTGACTCGCTTGCTCGACCGTAGGGGCTTCCGGTTCCTGGAGCGGTTGCTGGTGGATGAAATTTGGATTCGGAAAACTGGACTGGAGCCAGACCCGACGTGCATCTACCCTTCCCTGCAATTGGGTCCGAATGCCGCCGAATTTTCTTGGGCTAGCCTGCGGAAGGCCCTGACATCGTTGCTGGGTGTGTTGCTTGATCGACCATTCGATACCTTGGATGTGAATGTTCTAGCTGGTAAGGAGGCCTTGGCTTTGAATCATTTCTTCTATAAGTGGATGGATGAAGACTTGCAGGATTGGGAAAGGACGTGTCCGGCAGGAATGTTGACTCTTGGTCTTGCCATGGTACTTCTGCACAACCGCTTCGGTGACACCACCCCCGACAAATGGAGTTTGGCCAAAGAGCTTCGCCAGCAGTCGGTGTTCCACCACACGGAGCGAATACTTCGACTACAATATATCTCGGACTATGTAGGTCAAATCCGGGAGTCGGAGCTGTCAGCGACCCCCTTCAGTTTCCGCTTCCCTTTGGGCAAGGCATGGCACTCGACTAGTTTTCAGCAACTGCTGGAGGCAAGATGGCCGATCTTCGGTCTGTTGGATGTGGTGGCGAAACGCATGGGGAAGTCTGGGCACTTGATGGAGAAAACCGAATACCGGGGCATCGAGGAGCACAGGCCCGTCCCTTTGCCGGCGATGCGCTGCCAGCTCGAGGTTGCTCCAGACAACGATTTAGTCCGAGTGGCTCACAAAACCCCTCTCATCCGCAGGGGCAAGCACCGATCCACGCAAAGCTTGCTCCTGGATGCCGATGGATGTAATCTTCTAGGAGTTGCTGCTGCGAACTTTCACCAAGCCCGAAGTGAAATCCAGAGGCTGGCTCAGAATGAGGCTTCCAGGTTCATGACCTTTGACATTTTGCACAACTGGACAGCAGCCTGTTCGGATCAGAGGTCTCCTGAACTATGCGCTGCAGACTCGAACGAGGAGTGCGCGGCGTTGCAGGACGATCACAGACGAGTATCCAAGGCCTGCTTGCGTGTCCACCGGTCGAAACGTTCGACCCTGCGAGTGCGACGTCGGATTCGTCTTCGAAAGACACGGGCAGGATTTTGGATAGAGGAAGGTGAGCGGCTTTTTCGTGAGTTTGTTGCAAGGTACGACCTGCAAGCGGCGATGTGGGCAGCAGGTCAATTCGAGCTGGCACCTCACGCAGACCGCCGCGCCACATTTGGCACGTGGCCAGCGACGGAGGAGGTGAAGCATCGAGCGACGATGTTTGGGATATTGAATTCCCTTCAACAGGACTTGTTCTTTCCAGATGATCTGCTGCCGCCGCTATGACTGAGAAAAGCTTCGAACCACCTTTGCTTCTCAGGGACTGCAGGTCTGAGGGTGCCCAAGAAGCTGTGGTTTTCAGACTCCAACGTGGTGGTGCTATCAGAGCTGTGTAGGGGGAAGCACCAAGCACTTGGTTCGACAACCTGTGCGCACTTGTTGTTCACTTGAAACATGAAGCGCACTGGCAGATGAGCTCCAGCAGGCCATGCAATCCAGCGCAGCTCTAACACCGCAATTATACCTACCTGTCTGTTCCAGTCTCTTCCAAGATTCAGAGAAGCAGCTCCAGTACTCTGGGACCCCCACTCCTAGCCTCGGCCTCTCGAAGCGCTTCCGAACATGCCATCATCTCTAGAGTTTTTACATTCGAAGTCCGGGAAGTGCGCGGGGAGTGCGAAGGGTGCGTTGGGCTTGTTGTGGGATCGCTTGGTTGCGACATTTAGCAGTATGTAGCCGGCTGCCCCTCTTGAATGCAAATAGCAAGTTGAGGGACGTTGCTCCTGTGTGCCTCGCCCAAGGTCAGTCTCCGAGCGCGCTAGGTCTCGAGCAGGTGCGGTTGTGACATTCTGTCACGACGGATACTCTTCCGAGGTCTTCCGAGACTCCTGTGCTGAAGCATGTTGTTGATGCGTGTTGTCAGGAAAGCCGTTATGGATCTTACGGCAGGCAAGCTCGGGCGATAAATTGAACTTGTTCTAAGCTTCGCAGACAGATCCAAATGCAATCTCGCTGGCAGTGGCGGTGAAGTCATGCAAAAGATGCACGGGTTGCACAGTACAAGAACATTACTGCATACAGAACAGGTCCTCAATCCAACATCGCTTCGCTTGTAGATTCAGAACACCTATAGCCTATAATCATGGCTTGTGATACTCAGGGTTGACTTGCTCGCAGGAGAGAGGAACATGCCGTGCATGCGGTGCAGTTCTTTCAAGGGCCAGGACGGGTACATGCGAAGATACGCAACAAATAGGAACGCTATGCAGATGTGTGTCAACTGAACTCCAGGCCTTCACGAACACTATGCTTGCAGCAATGAAGAGAGACATCGAAAGTGCGATGCCTAATGCCACATGCAGCTCTCAGCAAGGGCAAGAGCCCTGTGGCGCCGAGGCTTGGACCGGGACCACTCCCGTGCGAGCAATCGCCTCCACTGTCGACTGCCGGGCCAAACTGGCCTGATGCAGCTCATCTCGCGGACTGCCCGGCTCCTCGCCTCGCCAGGTCATGGTCGACAGTGTGGTCAACACCCACCTCGAAGGTGCAGAGAAGTCATCAAAGTTCTCCGGTTTCGGAGTATTCTCCGCAGGGCGTGGCGCTTCCGCTGGCTCTGGCCTTACCTGTGACGTACTGCGCTGCTGTGGGACTGAACATCCCTCTTCTCCTGGAGCTTGTGGCTTCCTGCAACCGTCCCGCGACGAAGTCTGAAGTTGTTGTCTGCATCCATAGAATCTGCAGGCTCAAGTCTCAAGCATTTCGCGTGAGCCTTCGCATGCTCAATGTTCATGGAGGATGGACCACGATAGAGCCTCTTCTGCGCATGGCAGGCGAGACCACTCAGATGCGAAACGGGGACGATTGGCAGTTGACATTCTGCATCAGCCAGTGTCATAATCCCCAGCCACTCAGCACCCAGATGATCAATCAGCATGTCACATGTTGATCATCTGGGTGCTGAGTGGCTGCATACAGCCGAGAATGGAAGGACCCCTTATATGCGAAGCGCATGTCCGCAGGCGGAGATGCAGGTCGGTTTCGTGTTACTCGTAACCAAGACTCTGCGCCCTTCTTGTGAGAGAAAGGGCCGGAACTCTGGTTTTCCCAAGGCCTTTGTGCAGCACAGTGCCTTGCCGCCGGCCTTGCGCGCCAAAGTGGAACAGGAGATGGAGAAGCTGACAATTGTGAAGAGAAGTCTTGCTGCCGTCGTCGTCAATGACGGGTGTTCGGTGTATGCAGCTTGTTTAGTGTATACCAGTGCATGTTTGCTTTGAGGTTTTGGGAGGTTTAGTATGACGTGAGTGTGCAGTGTTTGCTGTTGCTTGTGACTCTCCTCCCTCTCTCTCTCTCTCTCTCTCTCTCTCTCTCTCTCTCTCGTTTCGTCCATCTCTCCCTGTTAAATGACATGAGCCCCATGCACTCCTCAAGGCCCTTCAATGTTCACGATGCATTTACGAACACTACGATGCCGAATGGCATTGGCTCAAGATCTTGGTCGCATGAAGGAATGCTTGCTTGACTGTGTGTAGTGCAGCTGGGGAAAGTGATTGATCTTGGTTGCTCGGGATTGTCTAGATTGTTCCTTTGATTTTTACATGGTAGCGGAGCTTTGGCTCCAGAACCAGGGAGTGAGCGAATGGACTTTGGAGCGAGAGGAATCGGTGAGAGAATAGACTTTGGAGTGAGAGGAATCGGTGGCGAAATCATACTGTTCCTCCCACACCATGGTGAACTGGGGAAATGGGAAGACTGGGTCATGGCAGCTGAAGCGATGTATCGGACTGTACAAGCCGATTGCTAAACTGATGATGGATGATGTTGAAGGAGCCAACACTGTGATCACTGATGATCTGAGTGAAACTCGGAGACGACTCTCAAGCTTGGTGAGAGGCGAAAAAAGAAGGACCAGAAGACGAAGAGAGCAAAGAGTCCTCTGGTGGGGAGAAGCAGTTCGCCAAGAAGTTGCTGGCCCTCAAGAAAAGCCTACAAAAGGTCTACTACCAGCCTCTCACGGCAGAGGAGAGCTCGGAGATCAAGAGGCGCAAGACGTAGTGTCAGACCTGTCGCAAAGATGTGGGTCGCCCTCCCTCAAGCTCGTGGAGGCTGCCTAGAAAGCCATGAAGAGATTGGGTCCAATACTGTTTGGTTTGTTTTCGTCGATTTCGAAGAGGGTTTATATCCCGCGCAGGAAAGAAGATGTGAAGAACGCCCTGCTTCAGAGCCTGAATGCTTTGAAGAAAAGCAAAGACCCGAAGAAGCTCATCTCGAACGAGAAGAAGCACAAGGTCTCTGATGAGCAGTCAGCGGGCAGAGTTTTCTTTCGAAGTCTTGGCGGTTTTAGAGTTGCACCTGCAATGCGATGCAAAGCAGATCTACCGGTGTGATCATCTTAGAGTCTGTTTCCCAGCAGCGCAGAGCCTGTCTTCCCAACAGCATCAGAGACACCAGGCCTTCACTTTAGGTGGGAAGAGAGGAGTGTCGCAGCATAATTCAATGGCTAGAAAGCCAAGTCTGCAGAGACGTGTTTTTTTGCTGTGGCTGGAGAGCCAAAGGTTTGCAGAGGCATGTGTGTTCTGCTTGTGGCTGGAGAGCCAAACTTCTGAGAAAGCTATTTATACGCGGCTGTCCTTGCCCGATCATCTGAAGAGGGCAGGATGGGTAGGAAAAGGAAGGCCAGCGATGGACCGCTGCAGCCGGATAAGGATCGGGCCAGTGATCGGCTCGACAAGCACATCATCCCCTTGGAGCCCAATCCACTTTGCCTGATGCTCATGTCAGGCTTTGCCTTAGGCAAGCTCTTTGCGAGTCAGTTCGACAGCATGCGACAAATTGAGACCTGTATGTCTGTATGTCTTGTATACATTGTACTTGATTTGTAATCGAGAGGTTGAATCTTGAAGTTGTTATGATTGTTTCGGGGTGGTATTGAAGAAAATGTCAAATCCAGCGGCTGGCGGATGCAGCAGTAAAGGGTGGCTCGAGCTCTTCGGCGCTGGCGAAGCTCCAAGGCTTGGGTGGCCAAGGGTCTTCTCTGCAGAACTGCCATCGGGACCTGACGAGACTGGCACTGTTTTTGTCACCACTACTCAGCAGATTGGAGATTCGATGTGAAAGTGCAGTCACAAGCCCTCTCTTTGCTGTCGCCACATTTATGGGTGGAGTCTCTGACTGAGCGATTCGCCTTCAAAATTTATGTTTAGCTTGGCGAAATTCTTTGGTGGGATCTTTATTAGACGGCTGGAGAGCCAAGTCTGCAGAGGCATGTTTGTTTTGATTGGCTGGAAAGATACACTAAGGCATGGCTTGCTGGAAAGTATCACAGCCTCTCCCGACGATCTGGATGACTTCTGGCGAAAGCAGGACTTTCGCAATAACCCCAGTTTTTGAAGGCTCGGAAATTCCGGAGAAGCATCAACTGGGAGGCAGAGAAGCCCATTCCTTTGTTTTTTCATGGTGATCATGCCTCTTACGTGAGACCGATTCCATGATGGTCGTGGGCATACGATGTATCTTGAGCAACATGTCAAGCAAGACATCGCATTTGCTTTTGGGGTATCTGCCAGAGCAGTGCAATGCAGAATCCTGGCCACCACTGTGGCATGCCATCGCCGAGAGCTTGACATGTTTGGCCCTGCGACAGACACCGGAGAAGAAGCCAATCAGAAAAGCCATTGTCGTGTCTATCTATGGAGATCTTGGATGGGATGGTTCATGCAACAGCACGGGTGGCGAAGCTCGAGTTTCAATTTTTGTGCTCCGACTGTGAATGAGACAATCTCTATGATGATGCGAAATTTGCTGCTCCCTTCAATGATTTCAGGAAGAGTGCGAAATGGCGGTCTTTGCCGACAGAGCCTCCACCCCCTTTTTTGCTGTGCCCGGAATCAACTGCTGGACGCCGAAGCTTGACCCTTTCGGCACGGGACTTGTGGAATGGCGCTTGATGGGACACACGCTGGTGCCCCTGAGCCAACGCTGTGCTGCTATGGCGGTGGACTGGAGCATGACTGTTCCACTTGGGATGAGTTGTATGAAGACGATGACGGCGAAAAGCCGAATGTGAAGAATAACTGGAATGGTCCCAGCAGCAGCTCGACTGCCCAGCCAATGGCATCGACTGCTGACTCCATCGTCCAGGTCACCAATGCCCTGAAGCCCGGCGCGGAGATTGTCCGGAGGATGAATGCCAAAGGCACGAAGTGAGGCTGCCAGTGAGCCCGGAATGAATTTAGGAGTGCAAAAACAATGCCGCATGTTTTGCAATGTGCAGTCTTTGTTGAAATCTTGGATGGATGTTTTCTGTGGATTGCAGAGACTGAATTTCTCGGATTCAATGATGTACAGTATGGATCAATGCCTGACCGCTTGCGAATGCTATGTGCAGTGCATCAGGCCTCCACTGTTGCAATGACTCGAATGACGTCCGGAATTAGACCAATGGCCTGTGGCAATATTGTTTGTTTCGATTGTTTTGTGATCGCTTCGCGAATGCTGCCATGTAGTTGTGTATTGGATAATGGTTTGAATGATCCTCGACTGAAGTCAGGACCAACGGACTGTTAAATGACACGAGCCCAATGAACCCCTGAATGTTCACGATGCATTTATGAATGCTAGGATGCCGAATAGCATTGGCTCAAGATCACTGCGGGTTGGCTTGGTCGCACAATGGAATGCTTGCTTGACTGTGTGTGACTGGGGAAAGTGGTTGATGCTGGTTGCTCAGGATTGTCTAGATTGCTCCTTTGCCTTACTCTTACTTTCTCTCCACTTCTCTCGCTCTCATCTTTAGCTCACTCCCTTAGTTCCATTCACTCTGCCGCTTCCTACTCAGCCCTACTCATCCTTTCTCCTCACTCCCCCCTCCCATCCACTCCTCATTCCTCGGTCCCTGCACGCTCCATTCCGGCTGACTCCCAAATCCCACTCACCTTCGCACTCCTCAGGTATTGCGCCGACTACGACGTCAGCACGGGCTAGGTCATTTCACCTGATGCGTTGATTATAATTGAGCTCTGGCTCGTGCAGCTTTAGTCAGTCGCAGTGGCTCAGTTTTTGCTGAGGCAGCCTTTTTGCACGCCGCCATGTGTAAAAAATTCGAAGCGAGATCAAGGAGATCGACCGAGCTTGATGAACCCGGTGCACAAATTTAGCTTGGATGGGCAGCCGAAGCATGCCGTTGATCCTTGCAGGTCTCTGTCTGCGATTTGATTTAGAGTGATAATTACGAGCATGTTATGAGTATCCAAACAATGTGCATGGTATTGCTTGCAAGTGTGCAAGTCTGGTGCTTTCGTTATCGTTTCCTGCCCTGAGTTCCTGAGGATCCCACAAACCCGTGGGCCGAAGACGTCCTGCGCCTCTGCGAGAAGCAAGGTCAAGAAGTCGCGGGCGCGCCCGTTAGACTCTCGAAGCCCTCCGCTGGCATATCGTTGGCACGTTGCGTGTGCGTACCAGCAGGCCGCTTCGACTTGAGTCCGGCCATGGTCGGGAACTGAGAAGAACGGCTCCGGCCCTGAGAGCTAGACACCAATAATCACCAACAAGAATCAAAACGCAGCTGCAGGCTGGGCGCCGCATCAGTATGCCAAGTTGGGGATACTCTGCACAAGCATTTTGATCAGATCAGGACACCAGGCTTTTTCACCCGGCACGTGGATTGCGCACACTGGCTTTCAAAGCAATGCCGAGTCACCAGGCACAGCTACATGTAGAGATCGTAGAGAATTAGTCGTGCGATGCTTGGGCAAATGCCTCTTGCATCGCGCCATGGCTACTGGCCGAAAACGCTTGCAAGCTGCAAAGACTTGCGCGGCAAGCTGTTCCACAATTAGGCCATTGTCAAGGCTATTTGATAAACTCGCACATCGCTCTGCAATGCGCTCGTGCAAACACGAGCATGTATCAGATTTCTTCGACAGCGCATTGCAATTCGCAAAGGCGACGGAACCTATGATGGGTGCGGCTTGACAAACAGGATGTGAGTGGCGGGTGTCCGGCAGGCATATCAATGTCGCGGGGCAGTCTCCCGAAACTCAGCTTCTGGCTATGGCAACGGAACCCTCACGGCAAAGCTGCAAGGCCTCTGAGGCTGTCGCGGGCTCATGCCGCCTGACAGTGATCGTGTAGTCCGAAAGCAAGACACAGTAGAGTTGACAGCGTCCTTTAGAGTCAGCTGTGTAACACTGCTCCCATCCAACTGAATGTTGAAGTACATGGAAAGATCGGCGGCCCCTTCTCAAGCAGGAGCCTGCGAGGCATGCAGTCTTGTTCCATGTTGTTCTGTCGTCTTGTCCATCTGGACTGGCCAGATTCTGGTCATCCAGATAAGCCTGCTGATCATCAGGCACTGTTTTCAGCACGTTTGGCTTTCGAATGATCGCCAGTTTACACGCGGTTGCTTCGTGCGCTCTCGCGCAAAGGACTGTGTGATGAGCGCATGATTCGACCACCTGCAGTGCAGTCTCAGAGTGTATGGAAGTCCATTACGCAGGGGAGCGGAATTGAAGCCGACATGTACTTATCACGCACACAATTATCCGATTCCGGGGCCCAGCACTGCTGTTGCAGCCTGTAGAGAAATTGAACTACCGTGAGTTCTCGAACGAAGCGGAAACATGGCCATGTACCGTGACCGGACCAGTGCATCAGTGGCCTTAGTTGCTTGGCTGGTCGAGTCTCCCGGACCATTCTGCGAGATGGCTCGAGTTCGCTGCAACCAGGCTGACCCCTGGCTGTAGCGGGCGACACCTCTCCCTGGGTTAAAGACATACAGAAGAGACAAGGACATGTTGAGTCTCCGAACATGCTGGGCTTCCAAGTAAGATCCCTCCAAGAGAACATGTCGCCAATGGCACAACTTCTTGACGATGGAAGTGATTCCTTCTGGCCGGAAGCCAAGTGCCATCTTCGATTGTCGTGCCCATCCGTGCAACCGAAAATGTGAGTGCAGGCTGGGCCGTGAAATCGTGTTGATGACACATGAACGCAGAATAAGCTGCAGAACATATAGTTTCGTTCACTCGAGAGCTGCAATCTCTCATGCACTGCGGCAGCTTTCGTTGCAAGCATGCGTCGGATTGTGTGCCCTGCATTCGCTCTGAATCATGAGGTCCAATCCCACGTGGCTGAAGCCATCTTTACCATCTGCGATCTCCGAGGAGGCTTGCGATGTCATCTAATGCATGTATACACTATGCCCGGAATGGGGCGGATGTATCTGTCAGGCAGAATGCAGCAACATCAATTTACCCGTGGTTACACTAATAACCTCTACAGATGCTGGATGACATGCGTGGCTGTCCAGCACAGCCTTGGTAGAAGGCTGAATGTAGGCATCGTTTGAGCACTGTGATGTAAGCAAGTGTAAGGATCTCCTGGGCGTGTGGGCCGACTCGCTTGGCAATGCGGCGTCCCGGCAGCTTTGTGTTCGGATTTCTGGACTCTGCGCACAGCTGCAAGTTGGCTCAACATCTCGAAGGTATACGTGTCTGCTGGAACTGCTTCACAGCCAAAGCTGGATGCGCCCTCGGCATTGCCTGAAGGAGGATCTTTTGGTCGCCGGTGCTTTCTCGGACTCGCTGTGCACTCAGGAGGCAGTGCTGGCAAAGCCGCCGCGAGACGACATCCACTTGTCCATGAGGCTGCCGGTGTCCGTCCAGTTGGTCCTGCATTGCCATGTCGCGGATGGTTGGACTGAATATCACGGAATCCATGAGTCTAGCACATGTCAAATCAAAGCTCCTGCTAGCTAATTCAGTCCACTAGCTATGATGATGCATGTATCATCATGACATCTTGTACCCCTATATGAGTGCAATCCAGGCCCGACGAGGGAAGTGGATGGATCTGTGGCAATGCCACGTCAAGAGCTGAGTGCCACGCAAAGCTTCAATCGCGTCTGTAACTTCTTATTGAAAAGCTGCATTTACGAAGGCAGTTTGAGGCCAATCGTCACCCATACTCGGGAAGTTCTGGGGCACTAGTGTGTGTCTGTTTTTGGTGGTGTGCTGTCCTTTTCTGTCTTGGGCAACCTTCTCGGAGCAACACATAACTCCATGGCCATTGGATGTTAGATACTCGAGTCTGTGATGTAATCCGCTTCCGTTTGAAAGTTGTGCAGTCAGGCGGTTCAAACTCGAGAGGCTTTCACAAGAAGCGGTGCATGCAGGGTGTCAACAAAACAGTATCACTTCTGCTAGGTCCAGATTGTCTCATGTTTGCAGCTGTCGCCGACATCTGTCCCAGGTTGGATTTGGCCAGGAGCTCTTCATCAATGCTGCACTGGTCACGCTGGCACGGAAATCCGTCATCCCATACGGTGCGTCGGTAAGATTCGGTGACCACGATATGATCTACTTTTGCGGAGCGTGCCTGACCAATGATGCTAACCGCAAAGTGCGTTGTCGGGCGCTTGATCATCAAGGCAAGATGTGTGTCACTGCGGGCCTGTTGCAAGCTAATGAGGCGATGCCTCCCCACCTCATAAGAACGATAGGTTCAGTGAGATACCAATAATTCATCGATAGGAAGATGGCTTCATTCATGTGCAAGCTTCGTAAAGTCGTCCTGCTTGCCATTTGTATGAACGGTTGTGTGTTACGCTGGGGGAGCTTCGCCGGAGGACACTTCAGCCGCGTCGTTGGGCGTCGTATGGGTGTGTCTCCGGGAGCCCGAGAGGTTGACAATACCTGTGCGACCAAATCTTTTCTCCGTCTCGCGTCCCGGCCCACGCAACACTGCTTCGGCGAAATGCTGCTGCTAAGGCTTTGGGGGTTTCGGACGGTCGAAGTCGGGTGCTGTTTCTTGCTGGCCAGGGTGGCACGGGATGGCCGAGTGTCTGTTTGGGCGGCAACCTCAGGGAGAAGATTGCATGGTAAAGGCTCATTGCCATCAAAGGTCCAGGCGTCGTAGTGTGCATGACACACTGCCCAGAAAGCAGTTATTCAGCATAGTCTGGTGAAGCAGTTGACGAACGCACAGGGCGTCTAGCCAGGGTATTTGCAAGGTGCGCTTGGACAACGTGGACCAGGAAAACGTGGACCAGGACAACAGCTCCTGAACTCTGCAGCTCCTATCAGTGGAACAAGCAACACTTTGCTGTTCGAGTTGGAATTCTTTGAAAGCTGTGTTGTTTTTAATTCGCTTTAAAGCTTGCCGGTCCGCGTGCACAAGCTGTCCAGTCCTCTCAGATTGAGACTGTGCAATTTGCTGCAGTATGGCACTGTGTCTCAGTTCAAAGAGCGCCGGACGGCATCCAAAAGCCTCAAAAAAAGCTCGTGATGTTTGGGCTGCCTTATGCCTGAGCACACAGCGTTGTAGTATGAAATTTAGTTTCACGGTGGATGCGGTGAATGGCAACCCCCAACTCAGATCTTATCTTAGCCTCAGAACCGTTGGCCAGACCCCCGTGGACTCTGCTTTTCTTCTCCCTGCGTCAGTTTAGTGTACCTGGCTGCCAGACTATCGGAAGCAATGATCGGTGACATCGAAGTCTGTAGTTGTTGCTGATGCCTGCTTTCGTCGAAGCCTGGCAACTTTAGCTCTGCACAGGAGTCCAGAAGCCAGACAGATGTTTAATGCCGCCTTGGCACTTTCCAAAGCAAGATGCTCCGCTCCAGGGTGCTACCAATTGCTACCAGTGCCGCACCATTTGGTGGTGCTTGTAGTGGGTGCTAGCTTTGGTAAGTGCGCTAAGAGTCTGTGATCTTCGCTGCCGTGCCCGCGAATTTCAGCTTTCCAGAGCCGAGCCGGAGCTGGTGACGGTTCGACGGCCGTGGCGCATGCAACCCACATCCAGCCGCTTTGCGTTGGTTGTAGTTCCGTTATGCATTGTCTTTGGCTGATTCAAGATGAATTCGGATCATCAGAGACGAGCACGAAGGAGCCTCTGACTTCGCGCTCCTGTGCTCACTTGTCAACAGTGCTTCAGAATGAGAACGTGGCAGCTTCCAAGGAAAAGGTCTAAAGCTGCTGCTGCATGGCATGGTCAAGACAGTCACAGTCACCGGAATTGTTTCAGCGCAGCCCAGCACCTGAAGCTCCCTTTGCGCAGCTGGAACTGCTCAATCTTGAGGCAGGTTGTCGTACATGTGCCACTCAGATCGCAAAAGGCACATCGAGACTGCATGGGACAGCATGTACCAGGAACCACACAGGATCTCAGGCGTGCATGTCATACGTCTTCGATTCGATCGAATCGCAGCGGCATTGTCGACTCGGCTTTTGCGCAGTGGCAAGTTTGCGTAAGCTATTTGCAAGCTTTGCTGCCATCGGAATGCTTCGCGTTTCACGATGGCGGCGGCAGGCAGAGAAACCGGGCATACAGTGGGAAAGCACTTGCTTCTAATAGATGTCTCGAGCTTTTGAGGTGGCCGGTGAACTCAGAAGGTCCCGTCCTGTGCGAAGAGGTATTGGACACGTTGCTCCGATCTCGGTGGTCTGTTTGCCCATGGCACGAGCAACATCGCATGGATCTCAAAGAGAGCTGGTAGGGTAAACTCGGACGTTTGGCCTGGCCTTCGTACCATGATGGAAACACCAGGATCTACGGCAGAAAGCATGCCAGAAGTAGGGCAGTCACTCCTTGTGCATCTCACAGCAACGAAGTCTCTGAGGCTT